TTGTGTGTATCCAACGACTGTAATCTGAGTTCAGAGAGCACTAATTAGGTTCTAGACTAGATAGTTATGAAATTATAAACAAAATCATACAAAATCATAAATAATACCACAGAAAATTTATCCAGTGAATTAAAGATAGTTTTATCGACATTTCATTTTAAGAATTGCATGAAAATTTTAGATAAAATAATAATAAATAATAATAAATTAATTTATTTACCAAAAAACACTTAGCCAAAATACAATAAGTTCTGTGACTCGCACACTAGGCATGGCCTGTCTCGTGGGGGTCAAACAAAAGATTTTACAATAGATCAAAGTGGCTATTTGTCGAAAGTACGTAAAACAATTATGCGCAGCAAAGCAAAAATGACTTAAAAACTTATGAAAAATTACAGACATAACAATTAGATTCAAATTAAAATGAGCGCGTGTACTTGTGAGTGAATGTGTATGAATATATGCGTGCGTGCGTGGGTGCGTGCGTGCGTGCGTGCTTGCGTGCGTGCGTGCGTGCGTGCGTGCGAGCGTGCGTGTGTGTGTGCGTGCGTGCGTGCGTGCGTGCGTGCGTGCGTGAGTGCGTGCGTGCGTGCGTGCGTGCGTGCGTGCGTGCGTGTGTGTGTGTCGCGTGTGTGTGTGTGCGTGTGTGTGTGTGTGTGTGTGCGTGTGTGTGTGTGTGTCTGTGTGTGTGTGTGATATGGAGAGAGAGATAGAGAGTATGCTAGCATGCTTGTTACATAATTCTCTAAAAATTATAAGTAAAAGAGTGAGAAATTGCATTTGGGGACACGTTTGAGTGGTTAGGTAGCCCTACGATTACATTCTTGGGATCGGACGACAGGGCATGCGTCAGCGCTGTCCACTACCGTTTTAACACCTATTTAAGGGTCACCAATATTTCTTCTGATTTCTTATAATCCCAAGTCAATAAATGACTACTCATTTTTATTTTAGCCTCATAAAGTTGGGATTGTTTTAAGCCGTATAAGTTGACTTATTTGTTGTAGATGCGAGGGAATAGGAATAGCCTGAAATGGTGAGCGAAAGATGTTTCAATTAAGGTTGTGGGGATCTTAAATACTCTTTTATTTATTAAGGTATCTAACGCCGGCAGTTTCGAAGCTTCCCTGTGCATAAATGTAGGCCCTCAAAAGGCCCTCAGTAGATACAGTTTACGGACACTTGACTTGAGCTTCTCTAAAGAGATCTGACGTATGATTGGTTTACCCATAGCTACCTTCAAAACTGCCCTCTGGGTCCTTTTCAGCACTAACAACGTAGAGGAGGAGATGCCACCCCATGCCAGAATACAATAGCTACGTATGGACTGACATAGTGCAAGGTCTGCTCAAATGGTATATATAATTTAATTAGGCGGTGGTCTCCTATAAACGCCGTCGGCCGCTTACAGCGTCACGCCGTACGCCGCGTTACGATGCTTACTATAGAAATGTACTGTTGTGGTCTCTTTTACACGCTGACGTCGGCGTATGGACGTCGTAGGCGGTGTAAGACGCTTTGCGCTGCGTCTCTAGTTATTTTGAACCATTGCAGCGTGAACGTCGTGTCTAGCGTCAGTACAAAATGGCCAAATTTAATAAAGAAAAACTTTTTCTTCAACCGATATGGGCTTAGGATGCCTTTTTGATGGCACTTTTATTACATACTCCTGCACAAGCTGTACAATATGTTTAAATTGTTCTTGATTAATACGAAAATATTCAGTAAATTTAGAATCGTTGTCTTCTAAGTGTTTCATTATCAATAGCTGGAAACATCCTTCCTCATTTCTCTTCATAAATAATCGGTGCCTTGTTGCCTTTATTTTTCTTCGTATACGGTCGTCTTGTGCCTCTTCTTCAAGTAACACAAGCGCTGCCAAAAGCGTTGAATTTATATCCATTTTATGAACAAATATCACACACAACCACACGTGAGCACTGTCGGCTACTTACTGTTGTTTGATCGAAAGTCTAGACGTCGTCCGTTGCTAATATTATGTATTGACCGCTGACGCTGTGCCTGGCGTTCAGACGCCGATCGGAACGTTTACGCTGAAGTCGGACGTCGCGTATAGCATTTAATAGGAGACCGTAGTCTTAATATTTTGTGTAAATAATTTAATAAATTGCAGTGTGTTATTTATTTATAAGGTACAATGGGACTGACATGTTAAAAATAACGTAAGTCTTTAAATTAAAAAAAAAAGAATTAAAAAAAAATAAAATAAACAATAGTGCAAGGTAGACGGACTTTAAAATGCTTCCATCAGTAGAATCTCTCAACAGTCTCATCGTGTGTATCAGTTTACGGACCCTGGCAGATGTCACCGATATATGACTTTTAAAGTTAAGATTTTCATCTATTAAAATGCCCAAATATATGAGGGAGCCGACCCCACTTTTCTGGTCACAGTTACAATTTAGAGAACTCACGGTGAAAAAACTACAGTTGTTATTGTGTACTTTAAGGCTATTGAAAAGTGAGGGTGGTGGTTCAGATGCTGCAGTTTTATGAAAACAAATTAACTGCGTTTTTGAGGTGTTCAGTGTTAAGATGTTGTTATTTAACCATTTTTGTAATTTATGCAACTCCGAGATGGCTGAAAAGTAGGCGTCGTACCAAGATTTTCCATAGAATATTATGGCTGTATCGTCAGCATAACATACAACCTCACTATTTTCAAGTTGAATTGACATAATGTCATTAATGTACGAAATAAAAAGAGACAGCCCCAAGATTCTACCTTGAGGAACGCCAAAATCTGCAGATCTAAGATCGCTTGCCTGATTGCCTATTTGGATGCATTGCTTTATAACCGACAAATAGCTGGAAAACCAGTTTAATGCTAGACCACGAATCCCAAAAGTATTTAGTTTCTTAAGGAGGATGTGAATAGATACCGTGTCGAATGATTTAGCCAGATCGAAAAAACACCGACACAGGATCGAGCCTGATCGAGATGAGTTACTACATCCTCAGTCGATTTTCCCTGGCGAAAATCAAACTGACGGTCCGAGAGTATGCTATTTTTTTCAAGATAGTTAGTCAGCCGCTTATGGACAACACGTTCCAGGAGCTTAGAGTAACCACCCAGCAGTGATATTGGTTGATAATTACAAGGATCTTCCTTAGCTCCATTCTTGTATATGGGGGTAACTGCCGCAACTTTCCACTGGCCTGGGAAGACTTCTGACGAGATACTTAAGTTTAATATCGCAGCCAGGGGCTCCGCGATTATGTGGGCTACTGATTTTAAAAGTTTGTTAGTGATGCCGTCCATACCCGGGGCACTACCTGATCAAGAGACCGGATGAGACCCAAAACTTCCAGTTCGTCTGTAGGATTCATGAAAAATGAACTAACGGGTAGAGCAGGAATTTGAACTTTTTCGGCAAGGGACTCTTGAGTCTCATTTAATTTTATCATAATAGAGTTTGCCAGCTTATTACCTACAGAGGCAAAGTAGGAGTTGCAAAGATCGAGAGACTCCTTTACAGAGGGCCGTGAGTTGATGAGAGCCAGGGGAGAACTTGAGCTAGTGTCTTTGCCAGTTATGCGGTTAATATTAACCCAGAGTTTTTTTGGAGCACAATTATTTTTATTTATTTCTTTTTTGTTGTAATCACGTTTTAGCCTTCTGATTACACCTATGTAAAATATTCTATAGAGCGTATATATAAGTTTTTTAGTTGCGTTGTTTGGGTCCTTGCGATATTCAATATGAAGCTTATCGCGGTATTTAAAGCATCTGATTAGACCAGTAGCCATCCACGGATGTAAGGTAAGAATGGTTCTGGAGCGGCTTATTACACAAGTTTTCGAATATTTCAATATTGTCTCTGATACCGTCTTAGTGAAATGAGTTACAAACTTACCAAGAGAGCTGCACTTTATTACTGGGGACCAGTCCGTTCCCTCCAACTCTAATCTTACTGAGTCTATATCAACTATAACTCTTGATCGAATAGGTTTTGGTCTTTTTGGTTTGTGTGTATTTAACATTATGCCAGCATCATTGAGATAGACTACGGACTCCGCATTAGATTTTACGGGTACAAAAATGTGATCTATGCGGGTTTTGACCCGAGTTGGTTTGGTTATAGCTGGAAAAAGTCTGTACTCTGCTAATACATCTAAGTACTTCGTGTGCAAGTTTTTCTCAGCTGCGGACCCAATAATATTAATGTTTGTGTCTCCAGCAAAAATAAGACAAGGAGAGGGACTTTTTAACGACCGTTTTTAAGTAAGCGTCAAGAGAGCGAATAAATGTTTCTGAGTTGGTGTAACCAGGTGATCTAAAAGCGGCTACTACTGAGAAGTGATTTGCAACTTCTGCGAGAATACAATTACGCTCTTCAACGTTCAGCTCGGAAAAGTTGGCTGTCCACCTATCGTTTATGTAGATAACGACTCCTCCTGCCCTGTTAATATACTTTTTAAAGTATAGTGATGTAAATCCTTGCAATAGGGGGGGGGACTGTCGCAAACTCATTAAGCCAGCACTCGCTGAAGACAATAGCGTCGAAATCAAATCTAATCTTTTTAGGGTTACTAGGAAGTTGTCAAAGTTTTTACACATGCTTCTTATGTTCATGCTTAAAATTTTAAATGAAAATCTAGACAGAACGTCTTTACAATCCTCTGGGACAGTTATATTGTGGCACTTTATCTGAGATGAATTATCTATAGCATCTAACAATTCTAGGGAAGCCATGGGAAGATTGTGAAAAATTGATTGGAGTATTTTGGCATTAAAGGGGAGAGTGCCATATAAGCAGAAGAAGGGGTGTAGATAACCACGAAATATTTTGTGGAATGTACCATGGGGGAGAAGATGTGTAGGTGTGTTAAAATGTGTGTGTTTTTAGCGCTTACAATTGTGATGGGTTAAATTCAAAGTTATGATAAGTAGTATATAAGAAAAATGACGACCATATGGGCCAAAAATTAGTGACAAAATATTAATGACTAGGCTCTTGAGGCGCAGGTAACGTTTACTAAGTGGTCACCGTGTCGGGTTTGGTTTGGGCACAGAGCAGGCGGCTGAGATCATTTTCCGACCTAATACGGATTGCGGGGCTACCTTCCTTGACATCCCCTTTCCTAATAAATATGGATCCGTTCCGCAGCCAGCAAAACCTGTAGCCATGTTCGACGGTGAAAGCTCTCGCATTACGAAATAGCCGTCGATTTTTGCCAGTGAGACGCTCATTTACGTCGATCAAATTTTCAGGCCCATAATTCAGAATGTCTTTACTCTTTAGGTTTTTCCTAGCCTTCGCGTGTTCAAGGAATTCCTCACGTTTAGCTTGACGGGTGAAAGCAACCACCAAGGAACGATGAAGTTTACGGTTCCCACTCACGTTAGTAATTATATTTTGGTTTTTGGTACCAGCTCGGTGCACATAATTCAAGTCCATGTCCTGATACTCAATGCCTAGTTTAGCGGCGACAGTTAATACCAAGTGAGTTGGGTTTTCATTTGGTGTTTCTTCTAGACCCGATATTTCCAGCTCATTTCCCAAGGTAATCTGAGCTTCGCTGTTTAGACGAGACTGCAGATCGGCAACGGTGGCCTTATTTTTTTTATTCAACGGATTCAAGTGACTTAAATCAACGATCATAGTCGGCCAGTTTGGTGTTCAATGCGTCGAGACATTCGCGAAGGTGGGTGATGTCGTCTCTTATATCCATACTTATCTTGGATAACTTACAATCAAGCAGAGCGCCAAACCGGTCGTATGTTATTGCCGCAGCGGGATGGGTGGGGTTCGTAGTAAAATTATTATCTACTTGGCTGTCATTTACTCCCCCGTCGGAGGTTCTCAGAACCTTGTCGCATGACATGTTCGTGTCATGTGACGAAGCCGCAGTGGATAATGGAGAGAGTTGTCTACAAACCGGTGTGTTGTCCTCCTTGCGTCGCGTGATCCAATTACAGGAATGGCATTTCCAATTCCTTTTTAAGGCTGGAAAATTTTCTTTGCAGTAAACGGAGGATATGTTGTAACAGTTGTAGTGATAGCACCCCTTGCATGCAGAGGAATTCAGCTATTCCTCGGGTCGGGTAAATTTATGAGAGGCCAAACAAATCATTTTATATTATGTAGCTCTTGTAATATTATGCACAAGTAACTTTATTTCTAAAAACGCACAAAGGCAAGCAATGCACTGCAGAGAAACTAAGATGTGCTACGAGTCGTAAATGAGTAGGCGGGGCGAAGATGTTTCGTAGTCCGTAGCAATCCCCGTAGCGATTTAAGTCACTGCGCCTACGACTTTACAATTCGTCGCCTCCTCGGGTGACTACGGGTTACTTCGGCTGCTGACGGTTGTTGACCTTTGTAGCACACTACGATGGACGAACTAAGTGCACACTTGTTGAAGTAGGTTACGGTTGCAGTTATTTTGAAAATAATTTTTTTCACAGTTCCCTAATTAAATCCCAATCCCTATCCATCGCTAGATAAATGCGAAACAACAAAGTATAATGAATAAAAAATAAGTATATTGATGAATACTAAAAATTAACAAATAAATCCAACATCAATGTCAACGTAAGAAAGAGACGCAACCGTTGCTCGCAGAAACGAATAATAAATAACGCGCGGTCTATAGCCTACCCATATATTTATTACTTTCATGACAAACTCTGAATGACGCTGCAGTAAAACTATTATAGAAAGGTTTTAATTTCGCCATAACTAAGAATCCCGTATGAAGCATTGACTTATATATCACTAGCGTAAGTACCGGGCCGACCAAACAACTAAAACGGACCAGTGCGCTGGCGCTAAAATTACAGTTTAGGGCCAACGCGAATCTGTCGACAGTAGTACGCGCGCTGGACAGATTTTCCTGTCATAAATATGTCTAGTTGCGTGGTAAAAGACTGCAAAAATTACGAAACAAAGATTTTAAAAAAACATGGGATATCGTATCATCATTAAATAACCTTAACTAATTTTGTTACAATTAAATTATTATATAAACGCATTTTAAAGTTATATTTGACAGTCAGTTTAGTTACGTTACCAAGATTAGGCCAGGGTTGGATTCAGACCCCCAAAAATTAAAATTATACTATATTAAAAAAATTATATCACGTATGACGTTTCATGTTTTTTCCATGTGCCAGGATTTTGGCGTCAAGCGTCTAGTTTATCTATACGTTTCGTTTTTTGACGGTTTTATTTTTTTCTGTTTAATTTTTGTCTTAAGAACTTAGTGTAAGTTAAATTTTGAATATTGGAACCTAATATATTTTATTAGGGTGAAACGAAAAGAGTACAAAAGAAACCATATCTGCTTAATTGAATCTGAAAATCTGATTCATAAAATATTTTGAAATTCTGTTTTCAAACCGATTGCTTCTGGAGCATGGAGTTTTATCGTGGTAGGTCATTAAAGTTGTATCAAGGATGCAACATAAATGCATTTATCGAGCATCGATTGACCAGAAAGGGAGCTAATTCTAATTTTATTAAAACAACGCGCTACTCATGTACAATACAAAAATTCTCGATATTGTAGGGTTAATATTAAAATGTAAAAGGACCCAATAATAATACAATTCGTAAGTATTTTCGCTTTGTATTATTACGATCTTATATACTACAAACTATGAAATAATGATACAATTAGGATAATTATACTACGAAATCCGACCCTGGTTACGTCGTGTTTTGATATGACGTTTGTATTATGACAGCTGCGCTACTTTTTCTTGTATGAAAAAGTTATGAGTAAAATATTTAGAAGAGCTTATCCTTCCTTTTGAAATCATTGGTATGAAGACATTATCTGCAGTGTTGAGGATTATCTGCATAAAATAAAATTGGTAATGAAAATTTAAAGGCCATATGTCAAGATGTTTTTTCTATTAATATAACACTTCACAAAAATGAATTAAATGCGTTGAAGACCTTACGCAACCGATCAGAGCTCATGACTGTCCAAGCAGATAAAGGTAGTGCTACGGTTATGATCGATACGTTGGATGACAATTTTAACATAAGTACTATAACTTTTGTCGGATAAAAATACAAATAGAAAAGTTTGTTGGAATAAACTTTACAATATGCACCATCGATTTAAATGCCCATATTTTTTTTTTGTAGATAGTACTCACTAAAAGAAAGCGTTTTGCAAAGTTTTAGGTTGCGGAAACTTACGGTTCATGACATAATTTTTTTTACTTTTCATACTAATTGGCAAATAACACGCAATTACAAAATAAATTTGACAAATAATTGATGTTAAACGTCAATCACTTCACGTATAGAGTGTAGAAGTAAGGAATACAAACTCCCATAGTAGAATAGTTGTAAAAGTTTCCATTTGTAAGCGGTAAATAACAGTTCAAAAACTCTCCACAACAGCTGGAGTAGCCACTGGGATGAAATGAACTTAGCAGTTGTCGACGGATTTAAGTGTGCTGCTAAACTGCTCAGTAGCTCTATAATCTAAAATAATTTTATTTAGTAAATATAACGTCGAAAAAGTCGTCTATCTCACTAATATTTTTCGGCACGTTCTTTAAAATTTAACCCGTGGCTAAAGTGGGGCCACCCTTATTTAACGGTTTTCTATAGACACTTTTTAATACATAGTCTTTACTCCTTACTTCTACAGTCCATAACTTCACGTTTCTATTTTCGATACCTACTCGATACCAAGTATCGCATCAAAAGTATCAATACTACTTGGTATTTTTATTTACTAATTAGTACAGCTTTTGTACTTGTATTTCATTGTTTGCAACTTTCGGTATTATCTAATTATTACTACAATAAAGCGTGTACTTACTTATTTACTTACTTATTTATTATCGAAAAAGTACCCAAAACCGAATCAGAGCACCCCACTATTCACGTGGTCTTGTCTGCCCTACCCCTAGAGTGTATATAAGAGCGCGGAGGCGCAGAGGAAGAGCTTGCGCCCTCCTTTCTGCCAAGGAGGGACGCATTCGTATACGGCTTAGAGATCTCTCGTCAGATCGGTAAGCCAATCCATAAAGGCGGTGTTTAGTGGGTGAAAGTCTCCACATAATCACGCATCTGGCTGCGTGGTATGCTATGAGCATTCACTGCCTCCCTCCACTACTTTCCGGAGGGTTGCCCATATTTGCTTCGGGCGCAAAAAAAAAGAGGGAGAGCAGTGCCCGCCCGCCGTAGTGAAGCGCAGGCACCGAGATCGTCGTAGCGGCTGAAGCTGGTCGCCGAAAGCGACCAAAAAGCCGAAGCTGCGAAGGCGAGCTCAGGTGCCGCGCTTTCCTACGCTAGGGCGGAGCGACTGCTCATCCCACAGCGCCGGAGCTATCACAGAGCACCGGAGCACGACTGCCCCCTTTATAATTCCCCCCCACCCCACTTCCCGGCTACTAACCCCCCAACCCTCTTCCCTGCTACTAAACCTACTACTACTCCCATAAGCCCCACCCTTTTCTTCATTTAATCCAGTTCATTGTACCCCTCCTCCCCCCATATCCCCCCTCCACCCCCATATCCCCGTCCACCCCCATAACCCCCCCTCCATTTCATCAGACATACGGAAAGGAGAATAATAATAAGTAATATAATAAAGTAAAAGGAGATAATGGTAAGGAAAGAAGATATCAGATTAAAATCATTCTATTAACTAAATAGCGCTATTTTAACCTTAAAACTTTAACCATGAATATCTCCATAACCATGGGGTTCCTCAGGTTGAGGATGGCACAGGGGGTAGCTTACCCCTCCCACCCCTAAAACCTCATATATCGATTGTCCATATTGGAAAGTTTAACCGTTTGTTGAATGTATTTGTCAAATTATTGTTTTTATTTTTATTATGTTTTCCCTTTCATTGATATGTCTACAAATATTTAAATTTAAGTGTCTAATTTTTTGTGTGGCATATTTGGAATAACTTTTTCTTTCTTTCTTTCTTTTTAAAACAGGCCTTATAAATAATACGCTTAAAACAACGAGTGATCTAAATAAGAAATTTTCCGAGCAATTGAATCTACTCATCAATTAGATAATACTTGCATGTTCCAAACCACCGAAGGTTATGGGTTATCTATACGTGGTAGAGCCATGCTGCAGCTATATTAGAAGTATAGTTGTAGCACGAATGGGTCGGCTCAACCGGAGAAGGGCCACGCTCTCGCAGAATACCAGGGTAAAATAGTAACTTATTGCTGCTGTGTTTCGTATTGTGATTGTAGAGAAACGAAGGCCCTTTATACTGAAAACGAGTCATTCCATCTTAGTCCTCACGGGTGACAACGCATCTGCATTTTGATTCGTTATCGGGGATAGATGTAGATATCTATGGGCCGCTTCATTACGTACAATAGTGAGTCAGATCACTATTGTACTATTCTCCAACTTACAGACTGGCCCAGCACTTAGCGAAAATACTATCACAACTCAAAGGACACACAAGAGCACACACTAAGGATTCGTACCATTTTGTCTGTGAGATAAAAAACCTACGTCTTATTACCAGTGAAACTATGTTCATTTTTGATGTTCAGTCTCTATTTAGATGCCTTCCTGTTGTAAACTGCATCTTAATTATGACTAGGATACTAGAGGAAAATAACATGCCAGCGGAATATGCAGCACTACACAGACAT